TTCTTCTCCTGAACTTTTTGAAGACGTGGAAAACGATCAAGTACCATTCCAATCACAGGATAACAAATATATTTGCCTACTTGGTGACTCTAGCGGTCGGACTACGGATATCTCTGATTTCTTTGAAGCTGATGATTATGGTTAATTTTCCGATGTATGCAACCTAATTGATATCAATGTACCTTGACAAAGGTCATCTACGGTGCGTGTAAATAACGGTGATGATAAGCGTTTACTTGACCTATGTAAGCACTGTAATATATTTATACACAATGGCCGCATGGGTGAGGATAATGTATCGGTAATCTTACATGTAAAAATATAAGTGTAACTATCAATGAATTATCACCCTTGTTATCCGATGTACATTCCCCGTAACACATTTTCTACACTTGTGTGATAATAATAACATGTAAGTTCATTTTAATACTGGGGTTACTTATGATACAAGTAAACCCAGAAAGTGGACTGATGGCCTCAAATGTTGTTTTTGTATATTTTATAACTGAACAACGCCATTGTATCAATAGAGACTGAAAGTAAAGTAAAGGAACGGTTATACCAAAGAAAACACTTAATCGTTGTGTAATCAAGCATAATTTAGAGATTAAAAATTACCTCCGGACACTAAAGTCACGAAATCCGTTTTTTTTTTAGAAAATAGGTAATACAGGTAGTTCCAAACAAATACTTAGAAGGCTGGTATTGATGATCTTTTTAACTTGTTTAACTCATGTTTTAACAAAATAAGAGTGAAGATAATAATGTGCAATCTATTGATGAGCTTACTGAGCTGTCAAAACTGGAAGCTAATGCTTTTATAAATGAAGTGTCAAAATGTTAAAAAATAATAAGGCTGTTGGTGACGACATGCTATGTAACGAATATATTAATTCAACAATTGATTTAATGATGCCATTATATGTTGAATTATCCAATTTTACTTTTAACACTGGTCACGTGCCTGAGACCTGGCTCCTGGGAAACATCATTCATGTTTAAAGAATAACGGTAGTTTGTATGATGCCCTTAATTATCGTCCACTTACTTTGGTTAGTTGTCTAGCTAAATAATTTATAGCTGTAATCAATGAACGATTATATAAATATGCAGATAATGTAGAACTCAGTCTCGAAAATCAAGTAGGGTATCGAAGAAATCACTTTCAAATCATATTTTTTTTTATATTGTGCCTTTTTGGATTTTGAAAAGGCTTTTGATAGTGTTTGGAGAAAAGGTCTTTGGAACAAATTCTTGGTAAACAATATAGATGGAAAATGTTCCGAAATATTACAAATATGTACAATGGCATTAAGGCTAGAGCGATGAAAGATAGCGTATTCTCAAATGTATTTACCCATTCAGTTTTTAGGTCCGACAAGGCGATAATCTTTCCCCGTATTTAATTTCACTTTTTATTAATGATTTAGAAGATTTTATAAAATCACGTGACTGCAAAGGTCTGTCTAATATAAACGACCTGCTAGCGAAGGAATTGCATGCATATCTGAAGCTTTATGTTATGCTATACGCTGATGACACTATACAACTATCAGACACGGTAGAGGATTTACAAAAGCAATTACATGGATTGTTTTAATATTCCAACCTATGGCATCTTAATGTCAATATCAGCAAAACTAAAATCATGGTATTTGGTAGAAAAAGAATTCCTGATGACCTTAATTGTACATACAACGATAGTGTTATAGGAATAGCTAAAAATTATATAATAAAATATATTGTGGTTTATTTTACTAAAACTCGTTTGACACAATTTAATATTAAACAACTGTACACATGTAGTAAAGGTGTACACGTAATGTATGGAGCTATTTCCAAATGAAGGGATCATCATTTGTCAATAGATTGTGAACTACATATATTTGACACAGCCATCAATCCTATTGTTTATATGGATGTGAAGTTTTGGGTTGTTTACTTCTAACATTTTGCAAACACATACTTAATGTAAATATGTGTTCCTCGAACTTTATGATATACGGAGAACTTGGAAGTTTTCCGCTAGATATTAATGTCAACGTAAGAATGGTCGGATTTTGAGTAGGTTTAACTCTTTTTGATGTAGCTGGCAAGTGCCATTATAAACTTCAACAACTGAACTTTCATCATAATTTACGGGAGAGCTGTTTTCCAGAATCTTGTAGGTTATAATTTAGTGCTAGTTGGTTATTTGACAGTATTATGGACATTTCATTTATTGTGATTTATATCTAAACATTGATCTGTATTACTGTATATTGAATGCATGTGCAGCTTTATATTTGATAGATGATTTTGAATTTGCTAGATAATTAACAAGGAGCTGATACCCAGAAACTGATAATTATTGATTAACGGGAAGTTGGTCACCCTCAAACCGTTAATCTATTGATTGGCACAATAATCAGCGGGGAGCTGATACCCAGAAACCGCTGATTAGAGATTATTGAATTGTTTGTATGTTGATTGTGGTCTGTCAAATTACACCCATATTGGCGTATTGGGTCGACGGCCGTTTAGAAAGTTGTGACCAATAAATCCAATCAAACTTATTACTTGTGTTTGTTATGTGTGTATATTTAATAAACCTCTCCGAAAAGAATCAATTATTGAAGCTATAAGTACGAACTTTGTTTAGAAAAGTACTTGCTAGATATCCCTCCGAAACTAGCCAAAGCGTATTGTAAATTCAGAACATGTAATACTAACTTACCAATCGAAAGTGGTAGGTGGTCTAAAATACCTCGTGAAAATCGATTATGTAATTTATGTTATTTAAGAGAAATTGGCGACGAATTCCATTATCTGTTTATCTGTATACACCAACCAATACTCAATAATAGACGAAAACATTTATGTAACACAACATGAATTGATATCATTGGCTAAATTCATTACCGATATTAATGAGATAATTAATTTACAATACTAGTGTCCATCCTGTTCCACCATGTATTACTACCCGGCCAGAAGGTGTGTATCTATTTAGAAAAAATACTTCCCTGTTGTGGACATCCTGTAATATATAGTGAGCCTGTCTTTACTGACACCTGAATTTAAGGACATTCTGTAATATACAGTAAAATTGATCTTACCGACACCTGACTTTTTGACACCTGGCTTTAAGATCAACCTGTAATATACATTAAAGCCTGTTTTAGTTGACACCTTACTTTAAGGATGTTCTGTAATATACAGTAAAACCTAACATTTATGACACCTGACTTTAAGGGCGTCCTGTAATATACAGTAAAACCTATTTTAACTTACACCTTACTTTAAGGACATTCTGTTATATACAGTAGAACCTGACATTTATGACATCTGACTTTAAGGACAGCCTGTAATATACAGTAAGACCTGACTTTAATGATTCCTTTCTTTAAGGACAGTCTGTAATTTACAGTAAAACCTTACGTTAATAACACCTTATTTAAGGCCATCCTGTAAAATAAATTAAAAACAAATTGCAAGTGAGTTGCTGTGGGGCGGCGTACGTCGTCCGTCAATGGTTTTTTTTAGTAACGCAACTTGTCCTGAATGGCTTAGTGGAATTTTACCTAATTTGGCTTGGAGTATCATCGGCCTTAGGGGATTCAATTTTGTATTAAACAAAGTGTGTGGCCGAACTGGGAGCAGAGGGACGGGGCCCTTTATGGGAAATTGAGGTAAATCCTTAAACGTCTTCTCCCTCTGTACAATTGGAGGGATTTTAACCAAATTTTGTAAAGAACATCGTTCGGCAAGGGGAATTCAATTTTGTATAAAGGAAGAGAGTGGCTCCTCTTGGGGCAGATGGGCGGGGCCCATGCGAGAGAATATAGGGGGAAAATAAAATCCTTCTCGTTCTGTATGAATGGGTGGATTTGAACTAAATAAGATGTAGACCATCATTTGACATAATGGACTCTATTTCGTATATATGGAAGTTAATGCCCCAGTGGGGCTTAGAGCGGGGTCAAAAAATGTAATTTGGCAATATTCCTAAAAGCAACTTCTGTTCTGGAACAAAGTATCATTTGAAGGACCGACCTTTGTTCTGAGGATTTGGGCAAAAAGTAATTTTAAATTTGGACATTATCCAGATCCCCATCCATGTACACAATTGCTGAGCATTAAAAGACAAACACAGTCGTGACAATTAAATTGACCCTTGGGTCAGGTCCCCATCGGGCCATAACTATGAAAGAGATTCCCACCTCATAACTATATATATGTTATTGCTGGGCAACAATAACAAACACAGTCATGATATTAATATTGACACTGGTGTTTGCCCCCTCCCCAGGGTCTTAATTTCTGGTCCATAAATTTCAAACACCACATAACCATATATATTCATTTGATAGGCATAGAGAGATACACGAAGTCATATATAATAATATACCATTGCTGGGCATAAAAAGACACTGCAGTCATGATATAAGTATTAACACTTGTTACTGGCCCCATCGTTAGCCCTAATGACTTAATTTCTAGGCCATATAAAAGAATTTAGAATGATTGAGATAGCCAGCCCATAGCCGTATATACCATTGCTGGGAATAATGATCCCGGTGAGCAATACAGGCCCTCTGTGCTCCTTTTTTAGCATTTCCTTTCCTTCCCAAAGTTATAGAGTATGCTAATGTTATTAGAAATAAATATATTGCTATGGTATAATGCTGAAATAGTCAACTTCTCGTCTAAAAAATCCCAACGAGAATCAAACGTTACCTCTGTAATGTTTGTTAACTTTTTGGTCACGTTCGTATCACTACTCATTTTGTTGCATAGTCTGATGCCCTAAACGTTGCTTACTTGGTTTACATAGTGATATTGCACCGCAAATGTAAAAACATAGATTATTTCAGGGGGCAACATAAGTCGACTCATATATACGTACACGCAGTTGGATACAACAGGTCTACTTCTTCAAAGACAAAGCGAAGTGTTGGGGTTTTTTTTTATATCAGAAGAAACTATTTATAAATAACAGAACCCAGGTAACTGCCTGAAGAAAACAAATTTATTTTAACAAAAAATATGATACAGCCGGTAATGATCGTACAAATAGTCTGGTCAGTATATAACGTTATCTCAACGACCAAGTATCGGAAAACTTTCTTGTAGTACATTGTTATTCTTAACTTAAAGTACCTACTTGTAGTACTTAAGATGAAGACAGTAAATATTAAAAATATTGCTGAATAGTTCAGTTTATTTGCGCAAATTGCATCTCCAAAACATGGGCTAACGACACCCAAGTCTAAACAACTGTGAGCATCTGGACCCAGATTCTTGACTTTCAAACTCCGACATTGAGAACTTGTTCATCATGACTGCGATCGATAATAATCAGCTCGCCGTATATCAGGTTTTGACCGGCTAGGAGGCTTGTATTTGGCTGGACAAACGATTCCCAGTAAAACGAGTTTGTAAACAAGGGACAGAAACCAATGCAGCGTTTATAATAACTCTTATTCTGTAAACATTCAGCACTAAGTTTAAACAGTATTTGCACCAGAAATGTCTATTTCATCAACGTATGCCATATCACAGCTTGCACGTTCGCCAGGGTGATGTTTCATTAGCTTCACAATCGTGAACAACACTAGCATAAGTTGTCTGGCGTACTAATAAAAAATATATATGTTACTTAACAGAGAACCATGCAATGGCCTCTCTTTATCCTTAACTTACGTTACCTAGAGTTAATAACCTTGCATTTATCTACAACTCGAATCGGAAAATATACGACAAAGCTGTCTAAATTGGATGAATTTTATCTCATGTGGCACACATCACGTGTATTGACACTCCTCATGGTTCAGAAATACTTGCTTATGTATTTGATAACATATGTAACACAGTGGCCAGAATGTTTTTGGTGGTATCACTGGGATTTTCAGCAATGCGACGTCACAGATTATGAGATTGGCGTCAACCTTCGGTTATTCTTCTCGCGGCTTAAAAATATTTTAACTCGGTTAACGCGAGTAACGCAATGAAACAAATATATTAATGTGTTTGCAAAACCGTACATTTAACAGATGTATCAGAATGTCGTCTAACCAGGACGGCGTCGTAGAATCCATTTTGTGATGTTGCAAGATAAAGGTCATTTGGATAAACTAATCGGAGCGTCAGAACGGGTTCAATCAACTTTTGACGACCAATTTTCTAGATCTGAGATTGGTTGAAAGACATTGAAAGGTAGTTGATATAGTAAGAAGAAACGTGTCTTAATGCAAATTTGCCATATAAGCTCGGTTGTGTATACAAAATCCCAATGACAACTACGAGGCTAGCGTAGATCCAATGGCCATCACCATCAGAAAGACGGCTGTTGTTAACACGTTCAACGCAGCATACAGGTAAAAGAAGAAACGATCAATGATTTCGGCAACATCCTTATTGTCGTAAGGGAAGTCATCGTTACCATCCGGGCTCTCATCGTCATTCTCCTTCGCTGTGTCGTCGTCCGCTTTCCACGCTGCGGTGGACGATTTTCTTTGAAGCTTTTCTTTCATTATCTTTTTAATGTTTGTCTCCTTATTGACATGCTCAGCTTCCCCATCGCCTAATTGTAGTTCGACAACGTCGTCTTTTCTGTAGCATACAAGTTTGACAAGGCAACCACTGCAGATTCTCTGAAGCCATCTCGGTACCTCGGTGCCTTCTGGTTTTACCTGGAGGCGGAGGGTGAGGACGGTGATGATAATAGCAATCATGGCGTAGCCCAATGTCATTGACAGGAACACACCTACATATACAGAAAAAAACATCCATGGTATTATTAACTAATTATTGTTTTTTTGTCTCTTAAAATCAGCACTTCAAAAGAGTACAGCTACTTACAATTATGGTAGACACTAAAGCTGATGTAATGGATATCTAAAAACCGCAATTTTCAAGGACAAATGATGACTGAGACAACAGTAAAAAAAACGCAGTAATGCTATAGTTACAATTATAATATAGAAATACTGTTATCATAATATGTATCTAATAAATGTTTTAAAAACAACAAATCTTTTCCCATTCTTCATTGTATTTTTGAAAAACTTGCGTGACTGTAATTTGTCAAAGCGAGCAAATATATTCCGATTAGTGATATGCGTATTTAAAGGCACAGAAAGTATAATCAAATACTTATGAAAATGTGATCTGATAAATGGCATTATTTCTGCAAAATTGGCAGTACAACGAGTGTATTCAAAGTGGGTTGTACTTAAAGCAGTTCCGACTGCTGACTGCTGACGTTATGCGAGTGTTAAAATGCAATGGGTGGTAATATATCATGATCATAATAATTTAATAAACTGGACGTAAACATGATTACCCATGACAGAAGTATGGAGAGACGTGGTCGGCATGGCATCGGCTATAAGTGTGAGAAGAACAGCCAAAGCTAATAGGATGGTAAGGATATACGAGATCTTCTCGCCCGAGTCGGCTGGCAATAGGAACGTAACTGTCGTTAGCACGGCAACCAACGTTATTGGAAATATTACGTTGAGAATATAATATCCAGATCTACGTTGAATCTCCATCGTGAACAACAGCTGGGAGAATGTCTCTCCTTCCTCTACCAGTAGACTAGACGAAATTTCGTTCTTTATCAGGTTCCACTCGCCATTGAGTTCATAGTCCTCAGTGTTGACGTATGTCACGTGATGTTCCAATGTCACATGACTTGATATGAAGCCCCAGCTCGTGAGCTCGATGCTGCACGTCTGCTTGTCGAATGGGTACCAAGTTATGTCTATTTCACATTGGGTTTCGTAGACTCCTGGTGGGTCCCACTTTACCTCTCCGTTATACTTCACCCGAAACAGCAGGTCTGATGACCCCAGGGTTTCAATTTCACCGACCCTAAAGCAATGAAACAATATTTGAGCGTAACAACAACGAAACGGCCAAAATTGGATTTTAATGCAGGGCCTCTTATATCTAACCAGCAGAACTACAAGAGCACCCGCGAGCGACTGAGTCCAATTCCGTTACATACACGTACCCCTCCCACAGTCCTAATCAGGTCACATCACAATCAATTGATAATACAAAAACAAAGCAAAAACACGACCACCACATCACTAAGAGCTGAGTTATAGAGGTAAATCTTGTTCTTGTCATTTTAACATGACATAATCTTTTTCATATCATACAGTTTACTGTAAACGTACATATTTCAGTGGTAAAATATATCAACGCTTTTGGCGATCGAAATGTTGTCAAATTATGAATGGCCATAATATGTCAACATTCGATAAAATACTAACATTTGAACACGCTAAGAAAGTACACTCACCGTAAATGTTCACCTTTGTTCAGGTCTCTGTTTGTTTGGCTGATTAATATGTTAAATGAACGTGTTAATGCTGGCCAGTTCACGTTTCCATATATTGGCGGAATAATGCTAAACTTACGTGTTATCGTTGACGAGTATGGGTTTCCATACCTTAATTGGTGAATGGTAAACTTACGTGTTATCTATGACTAGTTCGGGCTTCCATATCCTGGTGGAATCTAGATAAATGTATTCTATGTCTCCGTAGGTCGCGGGTGTCCATGCTAGACGACTGTCGGTCCAATACTGCATTCAACAGCATCATTTATGTGAAAGCAAAACCAGGAAAAGTATTGTCAAATATTTTCATCGAAGTTGGATGAAAATGACCGAGCAATATTTACTATATATGTAATTCTTCTATACTACGTTATTTGATATCAGCAACAGATGAAATGAAAAAGGGCCGTTTCTAATAACATTTTGCTATTGCTGTATTGTACATAGTTGCTGTTTCATATACAGTGTACAACTTGTAAAGAAATCTAACAATGGTTCCATTTGCTAAACACGAAAACAGCGCCTAATATTTTACTTTACTTCTCATACATACGAAAGATATCCATCCTGATGACGACATCATCTGTGCTCGGATGTCCTGCGAAAGACAATATAAATGCAAATTGATGTATGGATTTTGTGAATAGGTAAATCAAATTATAATATTTTGATTCCTGATTTTTTCGAGAAGATAGATTACATTATATTTCTTATTGATTAAATATGAAAAATTGAATTAATGCGTTAACAATGTTCTGTACTCTGGCCGCAACTTACCACAGTGTTGATGGTCAGCACACTCATTTCGGCCCTGACCGTGACGGTGTCCGAAGGTCGGACCAGGAAATTGTAGTTGGTAAGTACGGCGGTATGGATATTATTAGCATGTGTCGTAGTAAACACAGCTCTCGTACAAACTGTAAAAAGAAACAAACATTTCAAGTTTAAATTTAAAGAATATAGAGCAAACGTTAGTTGTACATGTAGTTTGAGTGAATTAGTCGCACGCTTCGCTTTAAGTATGGATACTTAAAAGTATGCAGGGCAATTTCTGACATATACATATACAAAGAAAATTAATATAATAACAACATACTCAAGCGTCAAATAAAAAGTGGGTATTTCAGTTAATTTGGCCAGCTAGTTTCGGCTCTAAAGTGGGATATTCATCGGAACAAAATTGTAAGTTTGCTACATTTCCCGTTTTTGAAGAAACTTATTATGGATACTGCTAAACTCTATAATTAAGTCGGTATTACCAAAATCACAGCTACGGAAACAAACCTTCGAACACACCTCCCTATAAACACTACACCGAAAATACTTTTCGGAAACATTTAATTTATTCATCGAGCAGGTTTGAAAACATCGATCTTATGTCCCGCGGACGGGTTTTATAACAAAATCCATGTGTAATCATAGGCACTTGGGAAAATATCGTTATTGACAGAGAAAACATCATGATAAATTGCCAAACATAAGCACTTTGCTTTGCGGATTTTACGGAATAAGTTGTTTCAACTGCCAAGTTACATTGAATAAGTTTATCTTTTTAATTTGCGGCATTGAACTGAATAATAAATAAACGTCTACGGATGAACAACCCCAATCAAATACAGGTGGCAGGTAGCTTTCTTTGTAGTTCTTTGCTTAAGTATCAATACAACACAATGGCAACAGGGGGTCACAAGTAAAATATTTTATTGTATTCTTAATAACAATTATGTATCCACTTAATGAGTGTATTATCAATAGGCTATCGACATATGTTTTACATTTTGTATTTGTTATTTCGGGTATCAAAATTGCACTTTGATTTTTTTAATCCCGTTTACATACTCATGACGTCTGTATGTTAAATGTCAAATTTGTGTTTAAATATTGTAAGAATAGCTTAATTTTGGTGTACCTTACGTAATTATTAAATATGCGTGTGTTGAGTTATATATATTTCTGTATGTAAATCTTTTTTCATTCGGTTTCGACGTTTCCTCTGCCATGATATCGTTGAAGCGGCCAAAATGTATCTTCTCTCGCCACTACATTCCTTCAGCAATTTTCTTAGCACATCTAACGTTTACACTTTTCTACCTTGTTGTTTTTATGATTTGTAAGACAGATTGCAGCTGCCCATATAGCATAAGCTATTGTCTGGCTCCATCATCACTGGACACCCTTGTCACATGACCTAGGCTGTTGTCTTGCTTCATCACCAGTGGACACCCTTATCACATGACCTATGCTGATGTCTGGCCCCGTCATCAGTGAAAACCCTTGTCATATGACCTTAGCCTGATGTCTGGCTCAATCATTACTGGATACAACCGTCATATGACCTTAGGCTGATGTCTGCCCCCGTCATCAGTGAAAACCCTTGTCATATGACCTTAGGCTTTTGTCTGGCTCCATCATCACTGGACACAGCCGTCATATGACCTAGGCTGATGTCTGGCTCCATCATCAATGGACACAGCCGTCATATGACCTTAGGCTGATGTCTGCCCCCGTCATCAGTGGAAACCCTTGTCATATGACCTTAGACTGATGTCTGGCTCCATCATCACTGGACACAGCCGTCATATGACCTAGGCTGATTTCTTGCTCCATCATCACTGGACACAGCCGTCATATGACCTTAGGCTGATATCTGCCCCCGTCATCAGTGGAAACCCTTGTCATATGACCTTAGACTGATGTCTGGCTCCATCATCACTGGACACAGCCGTCATATGACCTTAGGCTGATGTCTTGCTCCATCATCCCTGGACACAGCCGTCATATGACCTAGGCTGATGTCTGGCTCCATTATCACTGGACACAGCCGTCATATGACATAAGCTTTAGGTGATCCTAGCATTAACAGACATCAGCTTGTTTATCTGGTATATATCAGATTTATTACTTTTGTAACGTTTCATTTAATCTGACAATGCTTTATTCAGCACTACAGTTATGTAATTTAGTCATTATAAATAACCTAATTCTAAGCAAAATATATAAGCCTCACCCATAATTAAAGATTTGTTTATCGTGTTTGAGTTTGCTAGTGACGTACCGACATACAAGCCCGGATTAGGCAGGAGACATCGTCACGGGAATCACACTTGATTCAGAAAACAAACTTACCGTTTCCTTCAACACTATATTGTCTCCGTGCTTTAATTTAAAGCGAAATATTCTGCTACAAAGACAAATATAATTACGAACGACAACTTATTAAATTCATAGTTCTCGATTATCTGTCTTATTTTGCAATTTGAAAACTTTCATTTTGAAGTCATTAAACGTTTTAAAAGGACACCCAAACACTCACAAGGTCATGTAAATTGTTGTATTGAAATTGATTGGCCGATGTAGGGGTTTATTTCTATATAGAGTGTGACATATTACCCGACTTTTAACTGACCTCATGTCTGTTGGTAACGGCCCTCGTGCACTACACATCTCAACAAATACTACCTAGTACAATGGACACCACGAGGACGCTAGACCACCAGGGACACACTTAAGATAATACACTGGATAATATGCGTAAAGGTGATAAGTTGTATTATATGGTTTCGCTTTGTGATCTCAACCTGAGAGTATTTACATGTACCTAGTGAAATTGGATATCATGTTTGTTATTCAACTATAACGGCGGCGTCTCATTTTCAAGAGTCTAATTATCTCCAGATTCTAGTGGGAAAAAAGGAGTCAATCATTATGTAAAAACGTGGAATGTGAAAATTCTGCACCTGAGGGTAGATATTAGACTCTTTTAAACTTGATTAAATATAACTGATGTTGAATTTTTGCAAATATCAGAAAAAGTAATCCATTTTGGTATATGATATATTTTTAAAGGGATACATATATATGGGTGTGGTCAACGGATATAATTTCGATCCTTTTTTTACAATGCATGTAAACAAACTCTTACGTTCAAGTGAACAAGGCTTTAGCGGCGTAGTTTATTTAAAACGATCATGATATCCTATTTCGCCTGGTAAATAGTCTTTAGTTATGGTAAACAGTCTCAGTTTTGGTAAATAGTCTCAGTTTAGGTACATAAAGTGAGGACTAGTAATTGAACTTATCACTTATATAGAGATATATTCTCACTTGAGTGTGACTCTCGTAGTCTAGTGCACTGTTAGTGCCTACTGTCAATAGTACGCGTTTTTGTGTACCAGCACCCGGGACCAATATAATTAGACATACGCCTAACAAGTCAGGTAACATGTCACAGTTTAGTTCAAAATAAACCCATACTTCGCCACAGATTTTTTTAATACAACATTTTGCCCTGAAAGCATTTATAACGACTTTTTACGCGTTAATATGACTTAAAAGGTGTCATTTGAAACTAAATAATTTAACGGCAGACTGAGAAACCTTGATCCAAATTGCTGGTGTGTTATAATTAATAACACCCGCTTTTGAAATAGAATATGGGATATCATAAAGTTAGGTTAATACTATATAAAAAGGGGAAAAATAAATAAACAGCTTACGAAGATTATTTCCTTCAACTGATGAAGATTATTTAAACCATCTAGATTTAATGAAGGTTTTAATTAATGATTGCTCGCAGAAATTAGGTAAACGGCAATAACTTATTATCGATTACATTTCAAGTGGCTCTATCAAAAGATTTTGCCGAGGATAAAAATGTTCGTTGATTTGAACTCTCATGTGTCGATGTAGGAATGGAAATTTCGACTTACAGCTCCGTCTGTTCCGCGCGTTGGCAACTTAAGACGTTTATATAAGTACAGTAGTATGCCTTAATGCGAACCCCGATTATCAGAATGTTTTTATTAGTCGAACCTTGGTCTTGTCCCTCCTTCGCAGGCCACTTTGATACTCTGCGATTAGTTATCCACGTAATTTATAGGACGTTCTATAAAATAGCTACTCTCTGGAGAAAAAACGTTATACAAGGAATACTTCAAGACCAACAAACATGTCTAATGTTTAATACATGAGGAGTTTTAAAATCCCAATTGTTTACATATATCATGTATATGTATGTCTTCGTACCATTGTTGTTAACCAAACAACATGTTCGACACTAAACTGCTATTTAAATTTAGTCACGATTTCCTCTTTAAACTACATATGTCGATTTCGTGTCCATTTCAGTTGATATAAGATTGAACTTTAACTGAATGCGTTAAGTCAATATATTTATTTAACGCAGAATTGAATAACAACGTATAAATAGGACGTTATTAATTTTGAACACCCTAACGCCTGTAGCCACCGAATGTTTTTATTTTATCTATATTTATTTTCAAATGTCGGGTAATTATAATTTCTATTCACACTTATTGGAAAGGTACCACGCAATGTCTTACATTTTTATAGCATTTTAACAGTAATTCAGTAGAATCTCAACATTTTCCCCCAAATGTAATTGTTTAGGTTATTTGTAGTTTTTTTCCAAAACTTATTCACTTAAAGTCTGTAAATGCCATTAAGAGCTCTTTGATTTCACATTTGGGTTTAGTGACAACTGGTGTTAATACAATTTCAATTTTTACTGGAAAATAAATCAATGGGGGTTATACATTGGGGTTAATATAAGTCAACAAACAGAAAGAAAACAGCAATTATGCTTAGATATGTTTACATGTACATAAATTATGTATAACAATATGCAACATTTCTTCAGTACCATGCATAATAATTAATATGCAACTATGATACACCGTCATATATACTAATAAACACATTTTATGAACAAACAATAAAACATAGCGCCTTTTTTTTATATAATTTACACTTATAAAATAATGTTTAATATACAATTATCATACGTCATTTAAAGTACACAACATTTATGGATCACACTATATGACAAAATATTCCATTATATAGCACCTTATATATTGATTATTGTGTTATAAAATACACAATTTCGTTAGCGTCA